AACGAGTTGTGCAAGAATAACCAGACCCCAAAATCAAATGAAGGCAATACCTGGAAACTGAAACTGTAAACATAATTAAGTGCGGGGGATAAATTTAATTGATAAATTTATTGTAATCCTGTAGCAAGATACCCAAGCCTGACATTGCAACCAAAATTATCTATAGATTTACTTACCCTGCGTCGATATCGGTAAGCTCATGCCGACAAAATCACTGTGAGTTCATTAAATTGAAGAGAGTGCGAGGAGAGAAGACTAGTCGAATCAAAAAATGAGAGAAACGTTCGATAGGGCAGTTTACTACTAATTTGAATATGGCCGAGATAAAGTAGTTTATGCTTTCTACTTAATCAAAACTTTTATAACTAGCAGCTGAGCTTCCTCTTTTTTTCATTTCATTTCACAATCAAACATTACGAAGTTGAATAAATTTTATGCGATTTACATGAGGAACATTTAAAGTTGTAATCTTTACATGCCGGCATAACATAAGCTTTAGGAAAGGGCACAATTGTCTGTACTATTAACTTTGCTTTGAAATGGCTTACAACGTTTAAATCAAATCAAAAGATAAACATATACACAAGTATAACAAAAGGTAACGTTTTGGTTGGTAATTCCTTCAATAGCATTTCAAGCCCAACATTAGAATGGAAAAAAATACAAACATACAAGTAAAAAATTGTATTCGGTTGTGACCGAATTTTTTATACTCGTTACACCTATTCTAAAAATGATTAGAAAAAAAAGAAAAATTAAATTTTCATACTCTATAATATTGTGGGGACGTGGTCGGATTTTTGTAGAGTAAAACGTAAATTTTATACAATGCGTCTAAAGCAGATGTCTTCATTTGTACGCGCGCGAATAAGTTTACCACACCAATTAACAGACAGACAGGAAGATGGACTGACGAACATATCCAGAACGGTTCACACTTGACACTAATCGATAATATGTACACATTGTATGGTCTCGAAAGTTCCTTTCCGTGTGCTGCAAACGTTTTGATAAAAGAATAAAGTTTCGTTATCCTTTAATAATCAGCAGGCGTGGCCGATTCTTTCCGTTTTTGCACAGATGCTTCAGTGCCACCTGTGGAATGCAAATGCCAATTTTTATCGTTGTATCTATGAAAGGAATTTTTATTTTTATTGTTGAAAACAGTGATAGTGTCAGGTTAGGTGGCACCATAGGCGTATTCTTCGACCAAGTTAGCCCATTTTTAACACCACTTTGTGTGCAAGAACTTTCAATGTTTCTGCTAAATATGAAGTGGATAGGTGCAGTTCTGCGGCCAGAAGAACGGTCGTTACATAGACGGACAGACGGACATGCCTAAATCGATTCAGTATTTGATGCAGATCAGGAATATATGTACTTTAATACGAACGTTTTGACAAAACGAATATACCCCTCATCCTTCGGCGATGGGTATAAACATAAATAAATAAGATAAAATAAATAATAAGATAAATAATAAGATAAAATATTGTATTGTTGGGCTGGAAAATAGGGTAAGTAAGCATATTGCTAGCAAAATACCCCGGCCTTTCAATATATGTATATGAAGGTACTTCGCCACAAAATTATCAGCTTATCCAACTTCATCGGTTGTGTAAGTTAATTTTGAGTTCCTGTAGCACCTGTTCAATGTTTAATTTAAATAAACGCAAGCTTGTCAATGGAGGGCAATGGAAGCACCTTTCAACACTAAAAACAAATAACATGCAAACGATATTAATCGTAGCGGAACTTTAGTTAATATCCTTGACTTGATTGATGTCTTTTCATTGAAAAAAGAGATGCACGGATGTTAGTAAACAATAAACTCGGGTGCAATATTTGTTATCATAAGCTAATCGATCAGATTGGGAATACTTTCTTTCACATCAAAATTAACAATAGCGTAAGAACACTAAAAGGAAAATAAGTTCCATACCATAGCACGAGTAATCATTTTGTTGAGACGTTTTTTCTTCGCTTCTTTTTAACCACCAACGGGTTTATATTATTATTAATATATGAAAGTATTCATGTTCACTCCTTTTCAAAAGTTATTGTTCTCGCGCTGAAGGTGTTTTGTAAATCTCGTCATTAGTTTGCTGCTTTAAGTAAATGTTAGTATATTCTTTTACAAATGTTGGGTAGGAAATGTAATTTTTATACCCTACACCATTTGTGCTACAAAAACATATTAAGTTTGCGCATATGTATGCACAAGGACTTGAGATAAACTCATTTTTTATTATTCCGATCAATTCAGAATTACTTTTAGCATCGAACTAAGCTTGTCTATCCGTCTGTCCTTCAGTCTTGTTTTGTTGCGTTCACCCTAATGGTTGTAATTTTAAAGATATTTGGATGAAATATGATAGACTGATTTAGTTTGGCCCAACGGGTTTTTCCAGTCGAATAAAAAATTATTTTCTCCTTCATTGCTCATAAACTACAGCAGATAGATAAATGTACAAAAATTTTAACAAATATTCCGTTGGCGATGGTGTTGTACTTATAGAAAGATGGGAAAAATGGACCCTGTCTACCCATCGTTACGGTGTATCAAGATTTTAATCTTTTTTCTTCAGAACCCGCAGGGACGAGTTTCAAAACCCCTATAATATATATAAATTGTTTGGAAATTTCAAATTCGAAATGCACTTAAGCATGTTCGTCTGTTCATCCGTTCATCTCTCCATCCGTCCAACTGTCTACTGCCGGTACTAAATATTTTCCCGTTCGCAAAAATGAAGATATCGCCTACAAGTTTGCAGAAGAATTTGAAAATGATCGAAACTGTTCAAAGGACATGCTTACAACGCCCACAATCCGTATACAATAAAAGCTATGAGCACCTTTGCTTTCCGGACTTTTTGGTCGTTACTCATAAGTTATAACACATGCAGTAAATAGATTTCCACTTTCCGTCCAGCGTTATAGAGTATGGAAACTTACTTCCTTTCCTTTATTTTGGTTGGTTATGTGTATAAAAGATTCGGCCGCGACCAAATATAGTTTTCTTACTCGTTTTACTTGAGGAGATTCGTTCTTAGAAGTCCGCTCGTCTGTGTCGTTGTTTCATCAAAATTCAAATGCAATTTTATTATATTTTCATTGAATTTTTTTAAGCCAATTACGAGCAATACTGATCGATTAGCGGTTGCCATATTTCTGGCAAAACCGTTATACCATTACAATAGAACTTAGCGAAAAACTGACCCAATCAATTTTCGTAGGTCTCTCTCGAAGTAAGTTTTACACCATTTAGAGAGAGTACGGGGAAAATGTCAATCGGAAGAGGGACGATCTGAACTGTACGAGAGATACATTCAAATCGTCCAGTCAAACTCTCTGGGTTTCTGCCAAGTCATTAAAGACTGGCGTTCTCTTTTATTGCATTAGTTATTAACCGTAGAAAGGTATGTCAATCGTTGCAGAGTGGCTTTCATCCAAATACGAAGCTTTATCGGTGTTCAACCTTACTCTTTGCAAATGATTTGCGTACGTGGCCGATCTGTCGTTGTTCGTTGCAGCAGCAATTCGCAGACAGAAATTCGTTACATTAATGTTTTCACTGTTAATTCATATGATTTCCAAAAATTGATCGAAACTTAGTGCTCTCCTTCGATACCATAAGATAAAAAATGCCGGCTCCCTGCGACAGTGTGCAGTGACGTGAACGAAGAGTCTTGCATGTTGCTGATGTCAGTAGAGCAACTTCACCACAAACGGAACGAATAATTTCACAAGCGTTCGAAACTTGTCTTTAGGACGAATTTTCCGAATCATATGCATATGTGGTCACAATAGATGAAAATTAATGCGGATTGCTGGACGATTTGATCTTTCATTCACGGTCAACATTCACGATTTTTTCATTACGAAAGCTCATTCCGATCGTCCACGATTTACCCAAAATCCAAACATCCAAAGTGGGCGTACTTGTTTCCAGGCTCATTTAAATAATTTTTCGCGCGATATTTTATCGAACAATTTGAAAAATGAATGAGTGCGTAATAAACACTTCTTTTTCTTCTTCGGTTATTCAGTAAAACAACAATCGAAGATCCGTTGAGATGTGTAATGCGCACTTGATTCCATTACAACAATATCTGATTGTAACTATTCGAAAGATGCACAGTATTATTTTTTTTTTTTTCATAAAATCTCAGTTCACTACGACTTTTGAAACAATCAAGTCAGTAACCTATTTCGTTTTGATCCGTAATTGCAAAGAGATATTAACTCGCTTACCTTTAACAATTTGAAACGAGAAACCACTTAATAAATCAAATAGAAATTTTAACAGGTATTGTTTTAAAGAAAGAAAGCATTGGACGCTGAGGAACAGATACGATCTCATCGACGCCGTGCTCTACGAAATTACGAATAATAGAAGCGTGAAGATAGTCAAAGGCACCTTTATATACAAATATAAAATTAAACAAAAGAATAAACATTTCAACTGCGTCGATTCTCTTTCCTCTCTCTGCTATCGTTTGAAAAGTGACGGAGTACCTTAATTTTGTATACCGTCAACATCTCTAGCGTATAAATTTCGTTACTGTGAAATAAAATTGCGTCAACATTTTTTGTTTATTTATTTTTTTATTAAAGAGAAGAAAAAAAAGAAAAAAAAAAAACAAAGACTTTAACAATTATCGCCGAACTACTTTCTAAATATGAAATAAAACAAAAAACTTCCGTTTACTGGCTAGCATCGAGTAGCAAAACAATGAACAAAGAATTAAGCAGCACGCAGTTGTTGGTTTTTTTGACACTTTTCCCTTGACTTGCCTCAAATCATAACTAGACGGTATGCACATATATATATATATACGTAAATATATGCATACATACATGCATATATACATACAATATACACGGTCAACTCTATATGTTAACCTTATTATGTATATGAACGCAGGTGCTGAGGTAAACAAGTATATGTAGAAAAGTTTGCGTACACATATATGTATGTTTTTGGTTTTTTTTTTTTTTTTTTTTTTTCAGAAATCAATTAAAAAAGTTTTCTGTTTATTAAATGTAAACTGTTCAAATCGTGCTTGTCTGTCTGTCTGTCTGTCTGTCTGCGTGTGTGTTTGCTTTCCATATTCAGTGATTTTACTTTCAAAAAATGTCACATTAAACCTATTTTAAATGCATTGTAAACATTACTATTAATATACTTAGCGGAAGCACTAATGTCTCGCGAATGTCGCTAAACGTATTTCCTGAGTTGTGTTTTGCATAGTGTACCCTCTTTGACATATGCATCGTTGCTATGATTTGCTCTTCATCCAATGATGGACGATAACTCCAATCGATCGCATTCGTTTTGCATATCTGAGCAAAGACTCGCGCTGATATCTTTGGTGTGCGTTTCCGTGCCGGATCATTAAAGTCAACATGGTATAAGCCAAACTTTTCCCTATAACATCAGAAGTATAAAAAACATTCAAAAAACAAAAACAATATCAAAATATATCAAATTTGCGTACGTGAAACCAGCCTTCCATTCATAACTGTCCATCAAACTCCAGGCTATATATCCCTGAACATTAGCACCGTCTTCGATGGCATCTAACACTGACGTCAGATACGAGTTGTAATAATCTATCCGAGCGTAATCTTCTAAGCCGCCTTTATCACTGACCCCGTTCTCAGTGATGATAATAGGCGGATTATTGTACTCGCGTCGAATCCACATTAATAAATTGTAAATGCCCTTCGGGTATACCTGCATTGATAAGCGTGTACAAATGAAATTTACATAGGCGATAATACATATATTACACTAATATATATATATACGGCAGAGCATATGTGAAAACGGACAAAATGTACGCATTTACGGTCTTTTTTCTTTACCGCTTTCGCTACGGCGATTAAATTAGTTACATAAAACAGATATAAAATTCCATGTATGCCTGTTTTGCTAAGTAGGTAACGTGTCTCAAAGCGACCAACTTGTTCTTCTTTCCAATTACCGAAAGTATTATAATTTCAATTAATATTAAACACACACCATCACATTAGTTCGAAAAAAAAATAAATAAATAAAAACTTTCGAAGATTTCAATATGGGAAGTGGATGACTTCTTTTCACTTTTTTATAGAGATTCTACAATCTTAACTTTTCCTGCGAGGGCAAAGTGTTCATTCAATGAATGTACTGAGTTGAAGTGAAACATTTGTAAGGAATCGCAAGCAATCTGGTGTTAAAAGACCGCAGGCGCAAAGATATGCTCTCTGTCGGAAAGAGGAATTATTCCCGAGTTTGCAAGCAGGGGAAATAGGGAAGGAAGAATTCACCACAACCCACAATAGGTTGGTTAGTTTTATCGTAATCTTTGTCGGCTTATCGGTAAGCTTCTGTAAGACTCGCATTGTAAAGCAAGCAATGTGTCGTTATTTTATTAAAATATTTGATATTTTACCTTTAGCCAGGGCGAACCGGAACCAGGCCAGTCGGGATTTTGCCTCTCAACAACACCCATATCATGGTTAAAAGATGGCATCGGAAAATTGGCCGTATTGTTATGATCATTTGGTCGCACTAAATTGGTAGTGTAATGATTGATACCAAAGAAATCGGAGGTTCCACGAATCCGTTGTATTTCCTCCTTCGTAAACGAAGGTAAGCGAGAACGCGTAAATCCCTGTTGCTTACTTAAATTACGAATGCGTTCAATCATTACAGCCGGATAGTTGCCGTGATGCGAAAAAATGGGATGACCGAACCAGCCAACCTATGCGTTTGAATAATAAATAAAGAAAAAAATAAAAAATTGATAAACAATTAAAAAAAATAAATGAAATAATAAAAAATGAATAAACAAACAAA